CTTGCCTTTAATGGTCAGTGCATTGAGTATAGGAGTTGGGAGGTCACGTGCGAGGTTGTATAGGACATTGGTTAGGCCACTTTTGGAATACTGTGTGAATTCTGTTCTCCCTGCTATAGGAAGGATGTTGTGAAACTTGAAAGGGTTCTGGAAAGATTTACAAGGATGTTGCCAGGGTTGGAGGGTTTGAGCTATAGGGAGAGGCCGAATAGACTGGGGCTATTCTTCCCGAAGCATCAGAGACTGAGGGGTGACCTTATAGAGATTTATAAAATCATGAGGGGGCATGGATAGAGTGAATGGCCAAGGTCTTTTTCCCAGGAGTGGGGGAATCCAAAACTCGAGGGCATAGGTTTAAGGTGAGAGGGCAAAGATTTAAAAAGGACCCAAGGGGCAACTTTTTCGCACAGAGGGTGGTGCGTGTATGTAATGAGCTGCCAGAGTAAGTGGTGGAGGCTGGTACAATTACAACATTTAAAAGGAATCTGAATGGGTATATGAATAGGAAGGGTTTAAGAGAGATATGGGCCTAATGTTGGCAAATGGAACTAGATTAATTTAGGATATTTGGTCGGCATGGACGAGTTGGATTGAAGGGTCTGTTTCCATGCTGTGCATCCCTATGACTCTACCAAGTTCAATCATTTTAGAGCCTGATTCCATTCTTCAATGTTTCTTACCCACCCCACATCCATTTTAGTTATGACATTGATTGTTTTTAGCATGCTTTCATTCTCATGTATTCCTAGGCCAATTATGACATTATAATCAGCTTACCATGGGAAGTGATGGCCTAGTGGTATTATCGCTGGACTGTTAATCCAGAGACGCAGATATGTTCTGGGGACTCGGTTCGAATCCTGCCACGGCAGATGGTGGAACTTGAATTCAATAAGTATCTAGAATTAAGAATCAAATGATGACCATGAATCCATTGCCGATTGCTTCACTAATGTCCTTTAGGGAAGGAAACTGCTATCCTTACCTGGTCTGGCCTACATGTGAGACCCACAGCAATGACTCTTAACTGCCCTCTGGGCAATTAGGGATGGACAATAAAACCCTTATCCTGTGAATGAATAAAGAAAAAAGGGTTTGCATTCAGTACAGCCCACCCATTTTCTCCTACTCTTAGTTCTTATTATCGCTTATTCAGCTTTTCTGCTGCATTGGCCTGCTTTCCATAACCCCCTTGTTTACCTACCCCTTTCGTATCTCTCTGTCTCTCTACGGGCTTCATCTCCACCTGTCCACTCACTTCTCCCCTCCCCCAAATTCAACTTCAGCATAAATACCATATTTCCCTAGCTGCAAACAGTTCTGATGAAGAGCTCTGAGAAAGGGTCACCGGACCTGAAACGTTATCTCTGTCTTCCCTTCACAGGTGCTGCCAGATCTGCTGAGCTTTTCTTGCAATTTCTGTTTTTGTTTCTGATTTACGGCATCCGCAGTTCTTTCGGGTTTTAGTCTGATGAAGAGTTACCGGACTCAATGTTAAGTCTGCTATCTTCTCACAGAGGCTACCAGACCTGATGAGTTTCTCCAGCAATTTCTGTTTTTGTTTTAGTTTCACACTTGCACAAACACTCGCCCACATACTCAATTACCCACTGACACTCATCCAGATGAACATTTACATTAACACACCCTTACTGTTTCAGTCACTCAGGCAAGTAAACATTTGTTTACACTTCCACTGACATGCAGATATTGATTCACACTCATGTAAACCTCTACAGAAACACACACACTCGGTTCTTGAGTGGATTTGTAGGTTGTGGGGGTTGTGGATGCTGTGGTTGGTTTGCTCACCGAGCTGGTCATTTGTTCGCAGACATTTCATTACCCTGCTGGATAACATCATCAGTGCAGCCTCCAACGAAGCGCTGTTGCATTTTCTCGCCTGGTTTTTAAACTCTGGAGTCCGTTAGAGTTGATTACCTGATTTCCGGTATTTCTTTGCAGTGGTGTATATAAAAGGTCTAATTCTGTGTGTTTATTGATGGCCTTCTTGGTGGAGAACCAGGCCTCTAGAAATTCCCATGCTTGTCTCTGTTTGGCTTGTCCTAGGATCCTGATGTTGTCCCAGTCGAACTGGTGGTTTTCCTTATCCATGTGAATGGAGACGAGTGAGTATTGGTCATGTCTTTTTGTTGCTCGTTGGTGTTCATGTACTCTTATGGCCAGTTTCCTTCCTGTCTGTCCAACGTGATGTCTGTCACAGTCCTTGCATGGAATCTTGTATATCACATTGGTTCTGTCCATAGTGGGTAAGGGGTCTTTGGTTTGAGTTAGCAGTTGGCGTAGGGTCAACGTAGGTTTGTGTGCCACTCTGATACCCAGTGGTTGTAGGAGTCTTGTGGTCAGTTCAGATATGTTCTTGACGTACGGTAATGTGACGAGTGTGTCAAGGTGCACTGTACCTTCCTGTTGTTGTTTGTGTGATAGGCATTTTCTGACCCAGCTATTCGGGTATCCGTTGTCCTTAAACACTTGGTAGAGGCAGTCTTCTTCGTTTTGGCGTAGTTCCGGGTTGCGGCAGTGAGTTGTCGCTCATTTAAATAGTGTTTTCACGCAACTTAGTTTAAGTGTATTGGGGTGGTTACTGTTGAAATTCAAGACTTGATCCGCGTGTGTGGCCTTTCTGTGTTCCTTCGTCAGAAATTCCCCATTGGCCCTGCATTCTACCATGACGTCCAGGAATGGGAGCTGGTTGTTCTTTTCTTCTTCCCTGGTGAATTTGATGCCGGTGAGAGTGTTGTTTATGAGTTGATGCGTCTCCTCTAGTTTAATCTGTTTGATGATGAAAGTGTCGTCCACGTATCGGATCCATAGTTTAGGTTGGATCTTCAGAAAGGCCATGCTTTCAAGTCTCTGCATCACCGCTTCTGCTATTAGTCCGGAAATAGGTGACCCCATGGGTGTCCCGTTGATTTGTTCACAGATTTGGCCATTAAAGGTAAAGTGGATCATGAGGCATGGGTCCAGTAATTTCAGCATGTTGTCTGTGGAGATGGTGTCACTCGGATCTCGTTCTTTTAGTAGTGCTGCTAGTGTTTCTCTTGCCAGTGGTATGTCAATCGATGTGAATACAGCAGTGACGTCAAAGGACACCATGGTCTCATCCTCGTCTATTCTTATGTCTTTGAGGGATTTGAGGAACACTTGGGTTGAGTGGATTGAGTGTGATGACTTGCTGACTGAGGTGCTTTAGTCTTTGTTGTAATTCCTTGGCTAACCTGTGTGTTGGTGCGCCTGGGAGGGAGACTGTGGGTCTGAGGGGTACTTCATGTTTGTGTACTTTTGGGAGGCCGTAGAATCGAGGGGTGTTTGTCCCTTCAGGTTTTATTTTTAGGTAGTAGGCTGTGTTGATTTGTCCGGTCTGTTTGAGTCTGTTTAGTATGTTGATTATTTTATTACCCAGTTGTGGTGTCGTCTCCATTTGCATGGATAAGGAGAACCACCAATTCGATTGGGACAACACCAGGATCCTAGGACAAGCCAAACAGAGACAAGCATGGGAATTCCTAAAAGCTCTGTTCTCCACCAAGAAGGCCATCAATAAACAGGTAGAATTAGACCCTATATATACAGCACTGTGAAGATAAACTGGAAATGAGGTAATCAACTCCAGTGGACCCCAGAGTTTAAATACCAGGCAGGAAAACACAACAGCGCTTCATCGGAGGCTGCGCTGATGATGTTACCCAGCAGGGTAGTGAAACGTCTGTGAACTAACGAACCAGCTCTGCGAGCCAATCAACCACAGCATAATCACTCAGTTTGCCACTTCAGTGCTTATTCAGCTGTCATCTTGATTTAGTACCACGCATAGAGGCAACTGTTGAGGGAGCTTTCAGTGTTTCTGTAAGGTATCTCATTGACCTCTCTCTCTTACCTCCTTAGCAATGTGACAAGTCCAATACTAACAAATTGGAAGAGCACGAGATCGAGGAGTTTTGCAAGTTTCTGATGCAGCGACCAGAATTGGAGGAGATCTTTAACTACTACTCAGGGGAGGACCAGATCTTGACTGTCACTGAGATCAAGAATTTCTTAAAAGAGCAGAAGGAAATCACCACCGACGAAAATGCAATCGCAATTATACACAAATATGAGCTGAATGAAACAGGTACAGAATATGCGCACACTTCTATTGCCTAAGTCACACAGACAGGCGTAAATAACAATTTAACAGTGAATATTTTGTCAAGTTCAGCGACTATTTCCAAGTTGAAATATATAATGGCCATTTTGCAACACAAACATCTCACCAACAGCTTGGGGAAAGATGTCCTGCTTTAAGTGCCCACTTTAAGGGTGACTGTTCACTATAAGGACTTCCTGCTCATTTTCTCTGTAAGCTGAACCACCAGAGCAGGGTCATTCAATATTGCAGCACTCCGTCAGTATTACCCTACACTGTAATGGTACACCACATGACCAAATGCTATGATAGAACCTCCAACTAAGACCCTTCTTTCCTGTAGCCAAGGGGGTTACAGACTGAAGCAGGCTGATGTACTGGCCAGCAAGTGATGGTCCAAATAATGAAGTAGCCGGAGCCTAAATGTGCCCCACTCCCCACCCCAGTTTCTACTGCTTTAGAGTTGTCTATAGTTCAGAATCAGGACCATTGTGTCAGGTGACCATTCCACTGGACACTGATGATGCTGTGTATGGTTGTTGCTGTCAGTTTTTTTCCTCTACTAGCCTCATCCCCTGATGTCATCCACAGTCCTAGGTCCTCACATCTAATAACTCCACCAGAGAAAACACTGAATCCATTAGAACAGGTGATCTTGAGAGCATGGCATCATGCAATCTAAGCTGGTAAGACCTATGTGGGAGGAATAATGATACCTCTAGGCACAGCAGTGTCCATTTGAAAGTCAGTACTAGCTTCAAGCAGTCAATCCTGGCATTTTACCACATCACTGGAGGCCATTCAGTCCATCTTGTTTGTACTAGCATTCTGAAAGCGGAACCAACTTAAATCTAATTCCCAGCCTTATCCCATTACTTTTGCCATTTATATAATGAAATATTTAGCTACATCTCTCTTCCAAAAACCTTTGTGAATTTTGGTTTCTTCACTACTGCAGTCTGGTGAGTAAAGTTAATGTATCACATTACAGCAACGAAAATATGATGGAAATGTGCAAATCTTGACTTTCTCCAAAACCATTCTGTGTGGATTGACTGTGTTAGGATTGCCCCAGCTCTTTTAAATTCTTTCCATCTCTCTACTCAGACATGACCTCACCCCTAACTCAATGTATTTTAATAAGTAATAACTCTGCATAAATATAACATGGCATCACATTTAAACAGTTCAAACTGCCTGGCACATTAAGTGTTAAATGTGTAGCAATCATTGCTATGCAAACAAGCATTATGAGAATACCTGTTCATCAGTAAACTGGTGAGATTGTATGCAATGCTACAGCATCTCCAATGAAGTCAGTAAACAGTGCTATATAGACACGGTAAAACTAGCATCCCACACTACATTTCATTTGTTTAGAGTACAAAGTTTATAAGATTGTCACATTTTCAAATTGGTTGTTTAACTGGCTCATTACTCACACCCTGTCCTGCACCAGGCAAGATTATCAAAAATTACCTGATAAGCCAAACATCATCTGTTGGTAAAATATTGGAATCAGTTATTAAGGAGGTAATTGCAGAAAATTTGGAAAATCATAATCTAGACAAGCAGAGCTAGCATGGCTTTATGAAAGGGAAATCATGTCTGTTTAATTTATTAGAGTTTTTCCAGGAAGTCTCACCAGGAGAGGATAGAGGGGAACCAGTAGAAGTGTTGCATTTGGACTTCCAGAAGGTATTCAGTAAGGTACCTCACAAAAGGTTAAGTCGTAAGACAAGACCTCACGGTGTTGGAGGTGGTATGATGGCGCGGATAGAGAATTGGCTCCTGGTTCAGGAAACTGCAAGTGCGGTTAGGGATTCTTTATCAGGTTATCAACCTGTTACCACAGGGATCAGTGCCAGGACCACAACTGTTTTCAATTTATGTTAATAACTTGGAGGAAGGAAGCATATGTACTGTAGCCAGATTTACTGTAGCCAGATTGTTATGGAAAAGGACAAAGATGGGCCTGAAATCGAAGTTCTCAACCGGGGAAAGGTTGATTTTAATAAAATCAGATATGATATGGTGAGAGGGGACTAGAAGCAAAAATACTTTAAAGTATTTTCTTTTATTCACTCACTTGTGGGACGTGGATGTTGCTGGCTACATCAGCATTTATTGCCTGCCCCTGTTTGTACTCCAGAAGGTGGTGGTGAGCTGCCTTCTTGAATTGCTGCAGTCCATGTGCTGTTGACCCACAATGCCATTATGGAGAGAGTTCTAAAATTTTGACCCAGCAACTCTGAAGGAATGGCGATGCATTTCCAAGTCAGGATGGTGAGTGGTTTGGAAGGGAATTTCCTGACACTGGTGTTCCCATATATCGAGCTGCCCATTGTCCTTTTAGATGGAAGTGGTCATGGGTTTTGGTTGAAGGAGCCTTGTTGAGTTGTTGTAGTTCTTCTTTAGGTGATACACACTGCTGTCACTGTGTTGTTTAGTGGGCACACTTCAAATTGTATGAATTGTCACTAAGGAAGGTCTGAAACCCTTGTGTAGTAAACATGTGTAAGTGCAGTGTCATCCTTCAAACCTGAAGGATGTATTCCCTGTACACATTAACATGTTCATGCATTCAGGTTTCAGGTGCTGTAATTCTCCTTTCCATTATGGAATTAAGCATTTTTTTGCACCTCGGAATTGTGAAATAGAAAATGAAAAAATGTTAACAGTAGATGCTTCTGTCGGGGAGGAAATGTTTCAGTAGTTAAAGGTGTCCATCAACACTTGATTTATTTTATGAAGTGGTAACATGGTGGACGGCAGCATGGGGATAATCTGATAAAAACTGAAAGAACTGCGGATACTGTAAATCAGAAACAAAAACAAAGTTGCTGGAAAAGCTCAGCAGGTCTGGCAGCTTCTGTGAAGGAAAAAACAGATTAACGTTTCGCGTCTGGTCACCCTTCCTCAGAACCTGAGTCTGGCCCTTGCAATAAAAGAGCCTTATTAGACACCAGTCTCATTGCTCGGGAATTCCGAGCTTGAATTATGTCAGATATTGGATCAATACAGAGGGAAACACTTCACAGTAACAGATGTATACCAGGAGAAGCTGAGGAATTGTAGGCAAGTGTGAGTAAGTTGCTCGATTTTAAAACAAGAGATGCACAAATTTTGTGATGATTGGTGAGAGGGTCTTCGAGTTGGAAATTCATCTTGGGTGTCAACAGAATGCAGTGTCTGATTGTCCGTCAGTTCTACAGCTGTCTGTTACTCCAGCAGAATCTTCCTGGCATGTCTCGGGTCCCAATAGCAGCACGGGAAAACTCCAGCAGTTCCTCTTGGAGTGGAAGCAGCAAACTACTTGCAACCACAGGGCAGCCAGCTGATTAGATATGCAGATAGTGACACCTTCAGCTGTTCCCAACATTCTTTGTCTGGCAGGTAGAAGATACCACTGACAGTGCAGCAATCACATGGTAATGCTTGATATCTGACTGGCCTCTGCTAGCAGCCTGAGGAGGCTGATCCTCTGCCCCTCTCAGCTACCTCTGATCATCTTATCTTCATGTGGTGACCAAAGGCCAGGCAAAGATCTGCTCAACATGATTTTTAAGGCCTACATCCTGTCCTTACCAGTGGAAGTCCCTACACTTTTTCTCAGCCACACTCTGATCTTCACCTGCCGAGGGTGGACAACTCCATCCTTGAGGTTAACTGTAGAGAACTCTTCATGTTGACCCAGTCATGTCTGTGGACACTGACTAACCCTGGAACTGGAAGCCATAGCCCTGTACTCTTCCTGAGTCATCTTTGACCTCTCTATCTATCCATCCTCCTCGTCCTTGACCAATTAACATTCAACAGTGAGTCCTCTGTACAAGGTGATTGTGAGACTACATCTGGAGTGCTGTCAGCAGCTTTGGTCCCCTTATTTAAGGAAAAACTTGTCATTTAATTGGAGGCAGTTCATGGAAGATTCACAGGGATGCTGCCTGGTATAGAGGGACTGTCTTCTGCGCAAACGTTAAACAGGTTTGGACTTTAGACATTGGAATCTAGAAGGGTGAGAGGTGATATCATTCAAACATCTAGGATTGTTAGAGAGCTTGACAGGGTATATGTTGAAAGGATGTTTCCCCTCATGAGAGAGTCTAGGACCAGAGGGTATAGTCTCAGAATAAACGGGTGCCAATATAAGACAATGATGAGGAGAAATTTCTTAGCATTGTGAGTCTTTAGAACCCTTGCCACAGAGCATTGTGGGGACAGAGTCCTTGTGCATTTTTAAGGTTGAGATAGATTCTTGATCAGCAGGAGAATCAAGGTTATGGGGAAAGGGCAGGAAAGTGAAAGTGACTGGTGTCTAATCAGCCATGATCCTATTGAATGGTGGAGCAGGTTCAAGGGGCCGAATGGTCTATTTCTGCTCTTATTTCTTATGTTCTTCCCTATTTCACTATCCTCCTCTTTTCCCAATGGCACACACTGGACCTGCTCCAATTACCCTGGACGTGACTATCAGTCATCCTCGACCTTCCCTCTACTATCCTTAACTTGACCTCCTGCCATTTGTTACCCTTGACTCTCAGGTGTGTGCTGTTGACCTTCCCTGTTCAATCTTTGACCTCCCCATATTCATGCTTGACCCTCTGTGTAGACACTTCCCTATGTAGTCCACCTTCCACCCTCTGTCCTCCATGAGCCTTGGTAGAGTTACCACTTCCCTCCCTCCCTCCTCAGCCATGCTCCTTTTCACAGTCACTGCCTGGCTTTAATTATCAAAGCCTCCTCTCCTGATTCAACAAGGTGTCCCACACAATAACTACAGCTGTTTTCTAATCTATATCTAACACAAAGACCATCTCACCTGCTGCATGCTACCTCTAATCAGTCATAAATCTCTAAGTTTGTGTTTCCACTTTGCTGCATACTTAATCCCTGAAGTACAAAGAAATCTGGTAGAGTTATATTTGGATGACGTCCTAATCATCCTTTTGCACACTCTGTAGGTCTGTGCATTTTGTTCTAAC